CCGAAGTCCAAACTTTTCCCTTGCATTTTTCTTTCTTGAAATTCAAAATAAAAACCTATTCTTTGTTTTTTGTTCAACTATTGCGATTGAACTATTAATAAGAGTTTCTACCTATTGAGTTATGCTTGAATTATTTGTACGACCTAAAGTTAAAAAAGTATTTGTTACGTGGATTTACTTATCCTATATTATATGTTTGATAATCTCATGAATCATACTTGTTATYCAAATACGACTCATATTTTATACCACATATTAATTTTAACAAATCATAAACTTATAAAATACATACAAGTTTTAGAAACAACTCATTAGTTAGAGCTAGCTTGTTAGGACGTATATCTCCGACTAAAAGGACATGGTTCGAATCRCTACCTCCGAAATTCAAACAAAATTCAAACATGTGTTATAGTGATGTAGATTACTTAATTTTGTAAAATCATTCTTTAAATTTAATTTTTTAATAATACATTCCCTATAATTTTTAGAATCAAATAAATATGTAAAAAAGTTATTAATTGACCCTTTTAATTTTACAGGGCACCCATTTTAATTCTCAACGACCTGCAATGTAGAAATGCAATAATTAAATAACGGAGCTAAAATTAATATAACTATTATTAGTTGTGTATCGCCTGCCATATACAATACTAAATTTGAATTAAAAAATTAACTTTTTCGGAAACTAATTTTTAAATTTTAATAATAATAATAATATTTAATTAATATACATAAAATAAACTAAGAATTATAGAAGATATTTCTAAGATGTTGCAAGGTCAAATTTATTAAATAACTTTATTATTTTGTGGTCCACTTTTATTTATCACTTATCATACCTTACATAAATAAGCAATAGATTATGTTATCTAGTCTTTAGTCTTTCCAAATTCAATTGGATTAATATTTCTAAAGATAGAAATATAAGCACGTATATGACTTTTACTACCAAATTAATATTTCAAAACCCATACACATCTTTATCTCTCTTTCTCTCTGTTTCCCTCACTCGTAGTTTTCCAGGGTGCTGCATCGCTATTAGAGGGTTGCCAGAGGACCTCGGGTCGTTGCAAAGAACATCGTGCCGTGAGGAGTTCGTAGGGGAGGTCACTGCCGGGTTGTTGCTCATTGTGAAGGACAGTCCATGGAGGGGAGTGGTGTGAAGAAGATAGAGGGGGACAGCTTGGTGAAAGGAGGATAAGAATGAGGTGTCTTAGAGTTTTTTTTTTTTTTTTCCCGAAGGAGAAATAGATGATGTCATTAATGAGAAAAATCTATATACCAGTATATATTATTATCATAATGTAAATTTGTTAAACTATACATATTTATATAACCTTATAGTTTAGTATATAACAAGGAAAAATAATATTACACCAACTTTTTTGGAGAGTATATTTGGATTATATTGTATATTAAAAAATTAAAATAAAAAATATATTATATAATAACCATTGGAATATATTAAATAATCTAACAAAAATAAGAGATGCCAAAAAAGGAAAAGTCAGAAAAAAAAATTATATTATACACACTAAAAAAAATTAAGCAAGAATAAATTTGAAAATATAAACATAAAATGGTCATAAAAAAATAATCTAGAAGTCAAATTTCCCAGGCGAATAGACATTTGAGAAAAATTGGTTGCGAAAACAACTCTCTAAAGAGAGTTTCTGCATTTAATAACTTCRCACTAAAAAAATAGACTTTATTTTAATATATTTTTTWAAAAAATATTTCAAAAAATATACTCAGACTATTTCCAAAAATAATACTTTAAAAATAAGTTATACTTCGAAAATAAGTTGGAAAGTAAGAGACATCTACAATGCATGGACTACCACTTAGCATGGTCGTCTCAACATAATCTTTTTTTTACTCAATATTCTTTATTTGGTAGAGTGGCAAAACCCTCACCACCCTTTAATATGTAGTTCTTGAGTAAGTCTTCTGGTTGTCGTTTTTTTTTTCTTTTTAAGCCAATAAAATGCTATATTGCACTTTTTTTTTCAATTCTATCCAATTTTAAAATAAAATAATTTTTTTAAATATAAAGTAATTTATATTCTATTTTGAAAAAAAATATTTTATTTAAAAGTAACTATTTTATTTTATTTTTTAAGAATTAATAATACAAGACAAATTATATTTAATAAGTACTATGGCTTAAAAAGAAAAAGTGCAATGGTTCAAAAGAAAAAAAAAAGTGCATGCTAAAAAAGAAAAAAATTGCCACCGAAGAGACTTGAACCCAAGAAAAGGCAAAGATCTTGTTCCACGAAACAAGGTATATGGGCTAAAAGAGGTAGATGTCATCTATAAATTTAGACGACAAGCAAGGTGGTGACCATGCATCGTAAATAAGAGATTGGGCTAAAAGAGGTAGATGTCATCTATAAATTTAGACGACAAGCAAGGTGGTGACCATGCATCGTAAATAAGAGATGACAAGCACAACCGCCACCTAGCAATCTAGCATGGTCACTCAGACGACCTGCTATAATTTTTTTAATTAGACGTGGCACCAACAAAATGCCACATCTAGTAGTCGAAGAAACCAATTATTATCATTATTTTTAGAAATAGTTAGATTTAGAGCATATTTTTTGAAATAATTTTTAAAAAAGCAATATTTGAAGAAAATCCATAGAAAAGAGCATAACGAAGAAAAGCAGCCAATATTCTAGAACATTTTGAAGAAACCAAATTTCTGGAACATTACAAGGGAACCAAAATTTCAAGACATTTCAAGGTGACCATTTCTGAGGACAATTCGAGGCAACTTATATTTTGGGATCTTTTAAGATAACCAATTATCCCTTGTATCAACATAAGGGATATTTTAAGATAGTCCATTATCAAAGCAGCCAATATTTTGGGCACTATATAGTGTGGAAACAAATATTTCGAGAATAGATATATTAGTACACCATGACCTATAAAGAAAGATTAATGAAGATAAAACAATATATGTATATATTTTATGCTTTAACAAATTACCACACGACCAATTACTCCAAATGATGAGGTGAATGAGCAAAAGCTATTTTAAGAACTGACACAAGCTCTAAACTAGAAACTCCTTAAGATTAATGCATGATGACACACCAAAAGTCAAGTATTTTAAGAAAACAGTACCAGATAATTGATCAGCTCTGATGACATGATAAGGTATATGAGCAAATCTAATTGAGTGTCAACGGCTGAAATAAAACATCCTTATTACATCAGAACAAAGAGTAATAGACAATCAAACTTGAAGCAGCACAATTTGATAAATTCATCAATGACCATGTAAACAAATGAGCATGGTGAAAATGTCATAAATATTAAGACTAATACATGGTGAAATAACAAGTATTAAAAANAAAAAAAAAAAGGTCTAAGGAAGACGATGACCCAATTACATAAGAACAAAATGTAGTAGACAATAAACTTGCGAACACAACCTAACAAAATCATCCTCATCAGTCACTAGGTCAAAGAATGAGCATCGTGAAATACAAGTAATCGAATATTTCAACAAAACATTACCAGACGAACAAACAATTCAAATAATGAGACATATAAGCAAGAACTATCTTGAGTGTTAATGGCCCTATTACATAAGACCAAAGTGTAGTAGACAATCAACCTTCAAGCAAGTACAATCTCAAAACCTATCCTATAAATTCCTCGACTCCTAGGTCGACAAATGAACATAATGAAAATGCCATAAATGTAAGGATTAATGCATTTTGAAGTACGAGTCAAGTATTCCAAGAAAACATTACCAGATGATCAATTGGTTCAATTGATGAAGCATATGCAAAAGCTATTTTAAAAGCTGAAACACAACAATTGTTACTTACATGAGAACAAAGCAATCAAACTTAAAGCATACACAATTTCACAACCTACCAATACAAAGAATCAAGTATATCAATAAAACATTACCAGAAAATCGGCTAGTTCAAATGATGAGGCATATTAGTAGAAGCTATCTTGAGTGTCAATAGCTGAAGACAACAATCCTATCCTAGAAATTCCTCAATTCCTAGGTGAGCAAATGAGCATTGTAAAAATGTCAATAAATGAGAATTAATGCATTGTGAAATACAAGTAAAGTATGTCAAGAAAACATTACCAGGCGATCAATTATCTGCACACGAGAAAAACCTATTTCAAGTGTCAAACAGTTGAAGACAACAACAACAATGTCACTTATATGAAAACAAAGCAATCAAACTTAAAGCAAACACAATCTTCATAACTATCATAGAAAATACAAGTAGTTAAGTGTATCAAGAAAACATTACTAGATGATCGACGAGTTTAAATGATGAGGCACATCAGCAGAAGCTATCTTGAGCAACAACCCCATCCTTGAAATTCCTCAAGTTTTAGGTGAGCAAATACATGTAAAAATTACTGCATTGTGAAATACAAGTATTTTAGGAAAAAATTACCCGGCGATCAATTATCTACATATGATCAAAAACTATTTCAAGYGTCAAACAGCTGAAAACAACAACAAACAATGTCACTAATATGAAAACAAAGAAATCAAACTTAAAGCAAACACAATCTCAATACCTATCATAGAAAATACAAGTAGTCAAGTATATATATCAAAAAAACATGACTAAATGATTGGCGAGTTCAATGATGAGGCATCAAACTTGAGTGTCAAAAGCTTGACAACAACCCTATTACTTACCTAAGAACAAAGTGTAACAGACAATCAAACTTGAAGAAAGAACATTCTCACAACCTATGCTAAAAGTTTGTTACTTCTCAAGTAAATAAATGAGAAATAAATGAGTATGGGAAAATGCCATAGATGTTAAGATCCTTTCATGGTATACAACAAAAGTAGTTTAAAAAAGCATTACCAGATTAATCTATCAATACAAATAATGAGGCATCTAAGACAAAGTTGGATCCATAAAAGCTATTTTGAGTACAACGTCTAAAGACAACCCTGTAACATAAAGAAAAAGATAAAAGTGCAGTAGGCATTCAAACTTGAAGCAAAACACAATGCCATAATCTATCCTAGAAATTCCATAACCACCAAATAAACAAATGACAAGGCATCTAAGACAAAGTTGGATCCATAAAAGCTATTTTGATTACAACGTCTAAAGACAACCCTGTTACATAAAGAAAAAGATCAAAGTGCAGTAGACATTCAAAATTGAAGCAAAAAACAATGCCATAATCTATCCTAGAAATTCCATAACCACCAAATAAACAAATGAGCATGGTGAAAATTTCCATAACTGTTTAGATTAAATCCTAAAAAAACCATAGTAAAAACTAGATAATTTGTCTGGACAGAACATACCGTTCAAAAAACTTGCAATTATTTTCCATCAAAACATAAGCATCAGCTCAAAACAACATTACTTCTCAACCAATACTCATCAGTGGAGAGGTTCAAAGTCCCTTCTCAACCACCTACGTCACAATCATTAACAATAAATTCTGTATAATGTGATAAAATATATCAGAAATATCAAAATAAAAATCAAGTTTTAAGAAGAAATAATTTTTTTTTAAAGAAATTTAAGAAGAAATATTCAATATCTCAAGATAAACGTAAACGTATAAGTAGGACTCACATTTAACCAACTAAATGATAATGCTTCTTCTACGTAAATGCTGCGTTGAGTGTCGACGATCGAAGGCAGAAAAAATTTAAAAGAAATATTCAATACTTCAAGATAAACATAAACGTATAAGTAGGACTCACATTTAACCAACTAAATGATAATGCTTCTTCTACGCAAATGCTACTTTCAATATCGACGGTTGAAGGCGGATAGTCTATAACTTATATACCCAAGATCTTCCTCTTACCTATCCAATGTGGGACATTGGGTGCATTCCCAACAATCCTCCCCTCGAATAATCATCCATCCTTGTCTTTTTATGAGCACATCATCTTTAACCAAGCGTCACCCATCTACACAAGACCATACTGCTTGTTGAATAGTTCAAGTACGAACGTGGAGGTTAGAAGCATGGCTCAGATACCACTTGAGAGAGATATGGAACCACCCTACACATCTCCATTATGGATATGATGTTATCCACTTTCTGCACCGTAAGCCCTCATAGTTTTGATACCACCCAAAATGCCTAGTTCATACGGAGATGTTGTCTCTAACTTATGTACCCAAGAACTTCCACTTACCTAGCCAATGTAAAACTTTGATCGCTCTCCCAATGGGGATAATAAGGTTGTGATCTTTTACCATAATTCCTGGAAAAAATGACAAGGCAGCCTAGAGAATTGCTTTCGATCTTTTAAGAGTATTTTGAGAGCATCCATCTCATTACTCATAAAATTCAAGAGCTAGAGCATTGATGCTAAACCTATTTGGTGGTTCTATTTTTCTCACTCTCTATCCTCACCTCCCTAGGGTTTGGCATAAGCTTTAGAAGTTGGGGATTGTTAGGGACAAGGGATCACCCTCTACATCTCCATCAATATATGATCTTTTCCACTTTTGGCATAATCCCTCGTGGTTTTGCTTTTGGTATCACCCAAAAAGCCTCAATCATATGGAGATGTTGCCTCTAACTTATATACCCAAAATCTTCCTCTTACCTATCAAATGTGGATCATTTGTTGCATTCCCAACGATCCTTGCCTCGAATATTCATCCATCCTTATCTTATTATGAGCACATGATCTTTAACAAGACGTCACTCATTTACACGAGAGCATACTATTTGTTGTATAGTTAAACTACGAATTTCTAGAAACTCGCCAGTTGCATAGGCACCCCTAAGATTCTACCCACATGACTAGGTTAGAAGCATGACTCAGATACCACTTGTGAGACACAAGGAACCACCCTCCACATCTACATTGAAATGACATTGTCCATTTGGGCATAATAAGCCCTCATAGATTTGCTTTTGGTATCACCCAAAAGACCCAATGCATATGGAGATGTTGTCTCTAACTTATGTACCCAAGATCTACCTCTTACCTAGATAAAGTCAGNAACTTATGTACCCAAGATCTACCTCTTACCTAGATAAAGTCAGACTTTGATCACATTTCCAATAGAAATAACAAGTTCCTGATCTCTTATATCCACACTTCGTAGATGACAGTTTGATTCTTGGAAAAAAAAAAGACAAGAGAACCTAAAGAATTGGTTTCGATTGTTAAAAGTATTTTGGAAGCATCCCTCTCGTTCCACATAGTATTGAAGAGTTGGTGCATTGATGCTAAACCTAATCGGTGGTTTTATTTTTCTCACTCTCTATTCTTCCTTCCTAGGGTTTGGTATAAGCTTTTGAAGTTAGGGATTGTTAGGGACAAGGGATCACCCTCTACATCTCCATCGATATGATATTGTCCAATTTGGGCATAATCCCTCGTGGTTTTGCTTTTGGTATCACCCAAAAAGCCTATATCATATGAAGATGTTGTCTCTAACTTATATACCCAAGATCTTCCTCTTACCTATCTAACGTGGGACATTGATTGCATTCCCAACAATCTTCCCCTCAATTAGTCATCCATCCTTGACTTATTGTGAGCACATGATCTTACATCACTCATCTAMWCCAGACCATACTACTTGTCGAATAGTTCTACTACGATTTTCTATAAACTCGCCACTGGCATAGGCACTCGAGGATTCTACCCACATAACTAGGTTAGAAGCACGACTCAGATATCACTTGTTAGAGACAATGAACCATCCTCTACATCACCAATGATATGACATTGTCCATTAGCCCTCATAGGTTGTCTCTAACTTATGTACCCAAGATCTACCTCTTACCTAGCCAATGTCGAACCTTAATAGCATTTCCAATAGAAATAACAAGATTCTGATCTCTTATATCCAATTCCCATATGACACTTTAATTCTTGGCAAAAAAAGACAAGAGAACCTAAAGAATTGGTTTCGATTTTTAAACGTATTTTGGGAGCATCCCTCCCCTTCCTCATAGTTTCAAGAGTATGTGCATTGATGCTAAACCTATTGGGTGGTTATATTTTTCTCACTCTTTATTCTTTCCCTCCCTAGGGTTTGGCATAAGCTTTAGAAGTTGCGCATTGTTAGGGACAAGGGATCACCCTCTCCATCTCCATCGACATATGATATTTTCCACTTTGGGCATAGTCCCTCGTGGTTTAGCTTTTGGTATCACCCAAAAAGCCTCAATCATAAGGAGATGTTGTCTCTAACTTATAYACCCAAAATCTTACTCTTACCTATCAAATGTGGATCGACATATGATATTTTCCTTTGGGCATAATCCCTCGTGGTTTAGCTTTTGGTATCACCCAAAAAGCTTCAATCATCAGGAGATGTTGTCTCTAACTTATATACCCAAAATCTTACTCTTACCTATCAAATGTGGATCATTTGTTGCATTCCCAACAATCCTCGCCTCGAATAGTCATCCATCCTTATCTTATTATGAGCACATGATCTTTAACAAGGTGTCACTCATCTACACGAGAGCATACT